AAGCAAAATATGACCGCAATCCCATCAAACAACAGTTCAGAATTGTTCCACCAGGCACAAGACCATTAGAATTAGTTCATTTAGATTTATTAACTATACAGAGTGAGAAATTTCTAACTATAGTAGATGCTTTTTCTAAGTATGCGCAAGCTTACCACTTAAGGGATGGCACAGCCATCAGTGTCGTGCAAGGGTTGTTAAACTTTTGTACACATCATGGCGTACCTCTAACCATAGTTACTGATAATGGACCGGAATTCACCAACCAACTTATATCAGAATTCGTCAGGGTTCATAAAATTCAACACCACAAAATAGCTCCTCATACACCGAATGAGAATGGTATCGTAGAAAGATTCCATTCAACTATTCTAGAGCACCTTCGGATATTAAAAATAAATAATAAATCTGAATCGGTAATAAATCTTATGCCATATGCCCTTCTGGCTTACAATAGTAGTATACATAGTTTTACAAAGTGTAAACCGATTGAAATTATAACTGGCCATTTTGATCCTCGAGATCCATTTGATATAGATCTCTCAACTCATTTATTACAGCAATATATGAATAACCATAAAGATAAAATGAAATTAGTATATAACTCAGTTCATGAACTCTGTAATTCCTCCCGTCAAAATATTACTGAAAATCATAATAAGGATCGTGAAACTGAACTTCAGTATTCACCAGAACAACAGATTTTTGTAAAAAATCCTTTTGCTTCCCGACAAAAGTTAGTGCCCCGTTACACACAAGACGTTGTAATGGCAGACCTCCCTATACACATTTATACTAAGAAAAAACGTGGTCCTGTAGCTAAATCTAGATTAAAAAGAGTCCCTAAAAGCGCCCAATTGTTTCAGGACGCTCCTGGTCAATAGTAAAAAGTATAACGAGGTAATAAAATCTCTCCAAGATAATGAAAATAAAATAGTATCTGAATTTAATGCACATGTTAGTTTATCTAAAGATTGGACTGCTCAGTATTCTAAAATCATAAGTAATATAGTAACAAATCAGAATAAGATATACATTTTAGTAGGTAAGATAAAAGAAAACGAAGCTACACGAGACTATGATTTAGTAAAATATGCCCATTTATCTCAAATTATAGATATAGTAAGCGATAACTATAATTAACTATAATAGCTTTTATAAAAACTTCTACTATGCACCATTCTGTTTTAGATTCGTATACAATCCGCACTATGATTAATAACTTAACTACTATATATGGTACAGATAAAGTAGTAATAGATTTAGTACTATAGAAATATATGATATAATTAAGTTAGGTTCATATTATATAGATAATAAAATAATATATAAAGTTCCCATCATCTATCCTTTTACGTATGATATGTATAAATTATGTATAATATCCAATAATCACCACGAGATCTTATCACCACCCCATCCGTTCCTTGTTCTTCATGAGAAAGATTTTAAATACATAGAGACAGAATGTCCGAAGACGAGCAGATGGTACTTATGCGGCGCACCCAGCAATATGCAGAATCAATCACCCCAAGACTGTATCCAGAGGCTCATCACCACGCAGCAGCGGGACAGCACATGCAACCCCATCACTGTTTCACTAACAAAATTAGCTTACGAGAAACTCAACGATAGGCACTACAGTGTGAGTTTTCCAACTCCAACGAAAAGACATTTATCCTGCGGACAAAACCTTTGCAAAACCCTGAAACCCGCATTCAAACTGAATTCGATCAAACTGGATCACCTGCATGAAACAAATATGAAGATGTCAATAGCACCTCCATTGACACTGCAGACAGAAAATAACAGCGGTATATATCATACGACTATACCGATATATGCAATACTAGTAAGTGCTTGCGTACTTGCTTGTGGCATTACATATTATAAATTCCGCATAAAATACCTCAACACCAGGCAAGCTCATCCAGTCAACCATATGGAAATGGAAGGAATCTACACTGTTCCTGAAACAAGGAGAGTTAACCCAGAGCAACCCCCAGCTCAATTTACGACAAACGTCTTCAATAGTCGCTGTTCTACGAGGGGAGGTGTTACGCAAGCCTAGTATAGAAGGACTGCTGCATTTGCACTGTCCCCAATAAACATTGCACGCGGCACCAAATGCTTGATCAGCAATGAGCATCACGCCATATCGCGTCATGCCTATAGTTACATTTCATTTTTATAGAATTATATAAATCAATCATATTCTGTTCTAACATCGAACTATAAGCATTGTAATTATTATTTTATATTAATAAATTTAAGTTAAGAAAAAGGTTGGATTTTTTTTACAACCTCCGGCTGTAGAATCCATAATTAAGTAACTTATTTGTTTAAGCAATTATTACAGAAACTATATACTTCCATGTTGCATTGGCAACCTTGAATGATTGACATAGACAAAGCTATCATAGACTAAGTATGTAAACCCATTACAATTAAATTAAATGTCATATAAAACACTTGCATTGTAAAAAAGCTTACTATAAAATTGAAGAGTTCGTTAACGATAATAATGTTTTTATAGAAAAACTTTATCTGATTGAACAGAGATTGAGAGAGTGCGTAGCGGTTGCTATGTTGATTGTCGCATGCCTAATCCTTGTTAATGTAAATCTATTTAAAACAGCAACATACAAGTTTCTTGCGCACACATCTGCATTCCGAATGAGCGGTAGAACAAAAAAATGTGACATTTCAAAAGTGCTTATATTAAGTATATTTGAATAAAGATTATTTCTATTTCTTATTAACTGTAAGACTGAAGTGTAACTATAGGATGATGTAATCTAAAAATACAACGCAATTTCCTATTATTAGGTTTATATATAAATTGAACTATAACTCGTTTTAAGATAAGGTCATAAAAATTGTCACTCCATATAAAGTAAACTAACGCAAATGGGCATGTGACGCGCACCTGTATGTATGTATGTGTATGACGCGAACTCGATAGACCCAGCTCGGGAGGCAGACTCGTGTCACGGATATTAATAATAATAATAATAATAAGAATCATTTCAGTATTATAGTTCAGAGTAAAAAAGACAACTTAAAACTAATATCGCGCTATGAGCTGAAAGGGCCTCCACATAGCTGGTGTCGCAGCCAAGGGCGGATCCAGCTTTAGCGGCAGGAGGGGGTCACATAGTAGTGGTGTACTGTACTTAAAAATATTTATTCTTTATTGTACTCTTGAAAAACTTAACACTTAATGACTTGTATCCTATGCACGTACATACTGCCATCTTCTCTTGAAGACATCCAGAGAAGCACTATTTAAATATAATTAATTAAATATCGAAAGTACATAAAATCTGTATGGTATCAAAATAAATAAATAAAATCATTATGTTCAATTAGTGGTCCACCTAAGTCCTGGAACCAGCTCAGGGAGGGGTCATGACCCCCATGACCACCCCCTGGATGCACCGCTGATTTTCAATGGAGTCACTCGAAAAAAAAGAAATATCATTCTTGATGAATTTAAATATATAAAATGAAGAGTGAGTTAAATGTCTGAATTATATGTAGATATGTGTAATAAATAGAAGAAAAATATATAAAGATAAGATTTCGTAAAAGTGTTGTTTGAAAGACTTAATTGTGTAATATAATATATGTAGCTTGCATATAATATTAGGTTGTTCGGAAAGTAATTTCGTTTTTTCCTAACTTAGGATTGAATTGTATTTTTTGCACTCAACTTCACACTTAAGCCGTATAATTTTTATATGCTTTGAGAGCTCATATAGCAAGGCTTGTGTGTGAAAAATTACAATTAATTCTGCGCAGTAGTTTTTGGTTGGTGTCCTTTTAAATATGGAGAGGAATAAGCAGCATTCTCGACATATCTTACTGTTTCTATACAGAAAGGGCAAAAATGCTGTTCAAGCCAGAAAGAAATTGACCGATGTGTGTGAAGGTGTGTTAACAGTACGCCAGTGCCGGAACTTGTTCGCTAAATTTCGATCCGGCAATTTTGATGTCGAAGATGCACCACCCTCGGGAAGGCCGGTTGAAGCTGATAAAGGCACTGGCTGATGCGACCGGCGAATAACACAACACGTGAGATCGGATTGAGATTAAATTTATCTTATTAAATTTAACAATTTATGACCACTTGAAAGGCCTGGCGATGTTAGAAATGTTCGCTTTGCTATTCGCCGGTTCGCATAAACCAATGCCTTTATCAGCTTCAACCGGCCTTCCCGAGGGTGGAGCATCTTAAGTGCACTTGGAGTAATAAGTAAATCACTACCACTTCAATTATAGCTATCTACTGTCAGCAGGTTTTTTTATGGATAATAATGGTTTAATGCACTCGCCTGCGATAACTTAAAAGAAATCTCACTGTCTGTCTGTCTGTATTTCAGCCCCTAAGCATGTGCAGTGTTTCGCTTGAAGGGTGAATTAACGAGGTGAAATTATAGGATAAAACGTATGACATCAGTAGTATATTTTTATGGATGATAATGTATGGGTGCGTCATAGATTATCATCCATAAAAAAAATTCACCTCCTTAATTCACCCTTCAAGCGAAACACAGTTTGCGTAGCAGACAATACACCGAACAAAAACAAGCGACCAGAAATTCCCCATTCCTTTCGATACACGCGCACTTGCATGGGTTGATAGATCTCATGGTTGCCAACCTTATGATAGGTTTTTTTAACATATATATTCTAAATATCGTTTCAGTGGGGACTGGAGGCCCTCTGTATCCTCGGGGCCCGCGGCTGCAGCCCAAAAAACCCTTAGGTAGATCCGCCCCTGTTCCTCAGGTTCGATGTAAGCTAGTGGCGCCACAGTGTTGTGAACTTTGGTGTTTAGACAATAAAATTACAAAATTGAATAAACTGAGGTAGGCGCCTGTCACAAATACTGTATACACATCGGCACAATATTAAACACACCGGCCGGGCGGCCGCGGCGTTCACCTCTGTTCAAACAGTCGTATTTCACACGATAATATCCGTCGTATAAAACGAGAGGACATTATCACTACGCCATCAGATTGATAGAGTCTGTTGCGTTGACATGCTGTCTAATTATAGCTGAAGACAATAACTCGGTAACCGCGTGTTTGTAATCCGCGCCGGCGTCGGGGTGCCACTATCTACGCTACCTGTATGTACTTATGGGACCACGTGACCGCAATGATAAACAAAACCGGATAGTATTCGGCTAGATCTCATAGTACTTACGAGTGTGTGGAGTGGAGACATGGCTACGGAACAAGACACGGACAGCGGCTCGCACTCCAGCAACCGTGAGTAGCTGCTGTGGTCACTAATAGGGTTGCCAACCATATACCAGTTATAATAACGTATCCTACTTTATTTTTGGTGATTATACTTTATACTTAACAAATAAAGTATGCAAAAATACTTTATTTTCAACCTTTACTGTGATGCGTAAAACAAAATACTCATTATGGGTACTTAACGATTTATAATTACTGAACGAAATGTTAGATGTCAATTGTGAGTTGTGACATTTGTCGCAGCTCTAGTGTTAAAAGCACTCAAAAATACGTTTTTAAAGCAATAAAAATATAAAATTTGAAAAATATTTTTTTTTTCCTAATACATTATTTTTTTTCCTGTCCTAGGGTTGCCAATACCAAATTTAATAAATTAGAATTTGAAGTTGGAAAAACCACGACAATTTAGGTTAAAACCAGGATTCAGTAATATACTTATTATAATTATATTATTATATAATGTCAATAGGCTAAATTAATAAAATTTAAGTAATGGTAATAATCAGTCTTTAATACTTAAGTATTTTAAAAAAACTCTACAACTCGAGCAGGCATTGTGAAAATGGCGCGCGAATTTTGTAAATACATAATCTTATCAGAGCGTTTTAAAAACCCGGGACGCTGCTTAAAAGCTATCCAGGACACCCCAGGACACTACAAAAACTAGGACATGTCCTGGGAAAAGGATGGTTGGCAACTCTATCCTATCCAAATCAGATTATACTTTTTTTTTTAAAGTTGTCAACCCTAGTCACAGACTTCCAGGGCCGTAAATCACTTAATAAAAAAAAAAGAAAAAAGACCTACCGACATGGCGTTGTAGAAATACAACCAATCACCAATTATACTTTTATAAATGTTATTGTTGCTCCCAAATATTAATTTGTTTGTATGAAAGTGTTGTCTGAAATGCTACGTGACTGATAAGTAATATAAAATTGTTTGAAACATTACATGCATCTTCTTTATACCTGTGTATATATGTGAATACTATACCTAACTATCAGATGGCAATTGTAAGTAGCTATGACGTGGTCTAGTGTTTTGAGTAGTCATGCTCACTAAAATGTCCAGACATGTGGCGGCGTGGTGGGCCGGGTCATTGGGCTCCCTAAAATATGGTCGAGCGCAGTGATGACTGGCTCATCCGTCATACTCGTGAACATACCGCTTGTAGGGACAAGTCTGCTCTAATCACTATGACTGATTTCCTCTTATTAACTGTTTAACCAGTTGGTTGTATACTTAACATTTTTTCTATTTGAATTAATGCTATTTGGTGGTTTGTATTCACACACTTAAAGTTAAAAATGTAAAGTAATAATAAAATTATTTAAAACCGCAACACACAAATGTCAAGATGATGATGATGATGATGATGATGATGGCACACACCAAAATAACATTTTATACAATTTTTGTCTGTCCGTCTGTTTGTTCCGGCTAATCTCTGAAATGGCCGGACCGATTTTGACGGGACTTTTTTTGGTAGGTAGCTGATGTAATAAGGAGTAACTTAGGCTAGTTTTATTTTAGAAAAATAAAGTTAAATTCCATGCAGACGAAGACGCGGAGACAGCTAGTCTATACATATAAATGAAATTGGAGTGTCTGTTTGTAATATTGAAATAACCGTTTTTTACTACATGCATATGAATATAAATGTGTATGTACGGTACATACACCAAAATAACATTTTGTACAATTTTTGTCTGTCTGCCTGTTTGTTTCGGCTAATCTCTGAAATGGCTGGACCGGTTTAGACGGGGCTTTTACGGGCAGGTAACGGATGTAATAAGGAGTAACTTAGGCTACTTATATTTTAGAAAATTCTCTAATTGCCTTTTTTGTAAACTCCACGCGGACGAAGTCGCGGGAACAGCTAGTATAATATAAAACAGGCTTTAACTTGACTCGGATGGACTACCCAAGCATAAAATTTCCTGAATATACACTTTTTTACTTAGACGGATTGGTATTTAGGCACTTTTTTAAAGGATGCTTTGTCTAAAGGTATTGCTTCCCTTTAGCCTCCCTTTATAAGGTGATGGAGATTTTCAGTGGATACATATACAGCAGCAAATATAATTTATTCTCGTCCCGATCAGTTGCACGTTACATATAAACTGTTAGTTAGCAACATGATTACTTATTTTAAATGTGAAGGGTGGTGGTGGCAAATGATAGGTACAACGTTTGAGTGTATACTGACCGTTTATTCTTATCATTATCATTTTTTTTATTGGGTTGTTTGGGCTATTGTCAGATGTGTAGCACCTGTAGCACTGCGACCTACATAGATCTATTGTGCTCGCCCTTTTTCAAAACCCGTCAGGGACAAGAATTGAAGGACATTCTTAGGAGCGATGGTTTTTATCGTTATCATTACATAGTATAAAATAAAGTCGCTGTCGCTGTCTGTCCGTCCCTATGTATGCTTAAATCTTTAAAACTACGCAACGGATTTTGAAGAGGTTTTTTTTAATAGATAGAGCGATTCAAGAGGAAGGTTTATATGTATAATACATGTACACCCGGGCGACGCCGGGGCGAGTAGCTGGTAATCAATACTTATATACTAGCTTACTTACTAAGTACATTCATCCTTACACCTTTACCTTTAGCTTACCTTTACCTTAGGCTTCTTTCAAATTCAAAAATCATTTATTCATGTAGGACATTTTAGCCGCTTATGAACGTCAAATTTTTTATATTATAATTTAGAAGAACTGGCAAGAAACTCAATTGAATTACTTTTTTTTAAAAGCCAGTTTATTTACAATGTCTGATAACCTTAACAACTGTTTAGCCTGTGACTAGAAAAGCAATGTGCATTGTCCAGGGTTAATATTATTTAAATCCTACTCAGCGAGGGGGCGAGTCATCATCATCAGCCCACTACAGTCCACTGCTGGACATAGGCCTCTCCCAAGGAAAGAAAATTATTTATACATATAACTTCAATGCACAAAATACCAAGGTAAAAGTACATATGGCGGTCTTAACGCCTTAGGGAAGGGTGGGGCAAGACGGGGTAGTTAAGGTTTGACACTGCATAAAATTCACATTTAAATAGGGACAATCATATTTTCTTTAGTTTTACAAACTTTGGTATTCGGATTATTGTATAAATAACAATAGACTAAAATTAGCTTATTATTTTTCTCACAATCAATTGTCAAAGCGAAAAAGTCACTTTGCCCCATCTTACCCCATACCTGGGGTAAGACGGGGTACCCTATAGGGCACGACAGTGTACATAAAATAACTATAGCTGCTACGGTAAATACAGTTAGAAACTAAAAACAAATAATTTTAAAAAATAACAAAACAGTCTCAAGTTTAATACGGCTATAAGTAATGGACTATACTACTAAGGGGATGAACTGCAAGGATAGCTCTGTTGTGATCCAGCCTACCTCACTGCAAACATCCTACGCTCCTTGGGGAGCATTTATCATCAGTTCTGGTTTTATCGTTTTACGAGGAAATATCATCAGTGGCATGTAGTGCCCAACTGCACTGAAACAAACTACTACAATGATAGTAGCTCCCCGTTTAGCTAGAGATAAAGATCCAACTTGCTTACTCCCTATTCGGGCGATAATTTTACATTTAATTTTAGGAACGATGAATACCCCAGTCTCGTCAGTGTTATATATTCTGTAAGGAGAAATTTCTTGAGGTCGAGAGTTTCGCCTAACAAATCTATCTACAGCTATTTTATTAAGTCCTGCAGCTCTTGCCGCTGAAGTGTTCTCTGGTTTTCTAATTGAAATTTCGGGGTGCCATTTGCCTCCTTTGACCAACTCACCCTACTGGTTTTCCGCACGTAGGTCCATACCATTCTACAAAAATACAAAATTAGACTCGGACGGGGCAAGATGGGGTATCCCACATACCATCATGCCCCTTCGGGCATTAATTTTATAAAAAAATAATAAAAAATAGGAATAATAAATTTAAGCGGTCGAAATATTCGCACATTACTTTATATTTTTTATTCTTCTAAAAAAAATAGCAATAACAGCAACCACTCAACAACTTAATATATTTGTCATGTAGTTAACAACAATTGAAAATAATAAGTAAACTCGTCTTAAACTCTTAAACTTATTTTTATGCTCAAACATCTAAACGCTGCGACTCACTGCGGTGGTACTCAGGCAACCGCCCCTCGGTAAAGTAATAGCTTATTACTGGTATTATTGTTTTGACTGAGGTTCATTTGGTTTTCTCTGTAAGGGAAAACCCCGTCTTACCTCGTAGCCCCGTCTTGCCCCACCCTCCCCTACGGCATTTTCTACCAGTCAACCGCAGGTAGAGAAACTGTAGGTGGTGCAAATGTAATCAATAAGAAAAATAACACATATGTCATAAATAATATATATTTATTCAAAGTAAATACATGTAAACATACATATACAAATACATACAATGATAATAATAATCTCAGGACAATTCCCACAGTGCCATCTAGACCCAAGTTAAGCTAGCTAAAGCTTGTGTTATATGTACTAAACAACTGGTACAAATACATAGATATTTTTTTTCATAAATATACATATATCATACTCAATCATACTCATGAATACAAATATTTGTGCCGTGCGAGGAATCGAACCCGCGACCATCGGACGTAAAGCGGTGTGCTAGACCGCCAGACCACCGAGGCCGTCGAACAATATATATAAAGCTATAGATAAATATGAATAAAATACAAATTCAAATATAATACCACATAACATACAAATATACAAATTAAAAATATATTTTTTAAGACCAATCTTTGAGATTTTTTCTCTGCTACAAAAGTTAATCAATCATGTAACGAGAACTGTAAATATGATGTCAAAGATGTGAAAAATGAAATACCTAAATATCAGCCCCGAAGGATTTGTAATTGCTGAGAAAAATTCAGGTTTCTGAGGTCAATATTTGCTATGCGTCGTCTTAAGAATCTGACAATTTTTATATAACCACTAGTATGCAAACACAAAGTTTTATTACACTCTTTATTTTAATTGTTTTATTACAATTGTTTTATTTTCACTTAACCTTCATACATATTTTTTAACAATCTACAGTGTTGCCATATACTTTTATAATATACCACAACAATGAAATAGCAACAGCAGATAGAGACCATAGAGCTACGAATTTGCCTATTATTTAATATTATTACCTTAAGTATGTAATATTATATTATCTATGCCTTAAGTAAACTCAGACAATCGTTGGTGTTTGAACAATTTATTTGTTCATATTATTACAGTTATGTATATGTACACACTACATATTTCATAAGTCTGTGATAAGTACTGTATAAAATACGACACGCTTGTCTTGTACTTGCTACGGTTATTGTTGGATTTTTACGAATGAAAGATATAAAATACGCGTGTAATAAAGATCTGGAAATTCACGTGTAATATATGTAAATATTGCGAATTGCGACACTGAAGTGGCAATGGGCAGGGCACATAGCTCGTAGGACAGACCGTTGGAGCAGTAAACTCCTCGAGTGGCGACCGCGGACCGGAAGACGCAGCGTGGGAAGGCCTCCAGCAAGATGGACCGACGATCTGGTCAAGATCGCTGGAAGGCGATGGATGCGAGCAGCGCAGGACCGATCGTCGTGGAGATATTTGGGGGAGGCCTTTGTTCAGCAGTGGACGTCTTTCGGGCTGAGATGATGATGATGGTGATGATGTAAATAAATGGAATCCAAGCGACTTTATTTTATACTATGTATTGAAGGACTAACAATAATAGGTATACCAGTCAAATTTCAATAGTAAAGAATAGAATAGAAAATCATTTATTCAAATAAACTTACATTGAATCAGGCTCGAAGGACCAAAAAAAAACATATTTAGTGCTGTACTAATGACCTGAACTGTACTAGATCTTAGACCCTATAGGTAAATGAAACCCAAGGATAGTACTAGAACTGTGTATATTCCGTAATAAGAACATTCTCCTCTCTCTTTCTCTCCCTCATTACACAAGGTACTATGTCTTAAGACATAATACAAAAAGATCTTGTGCCACCGCGATGTAGAAATTCTACATATTTGACACAGAGACATCTAGTTCACATTTTGGAACTATTATATTGTGCACTTAACTATATTAGCTTAAACAGCACTTTTAAGTAGTCATCGCATTTTTTTTAATCTACCGCTGATTTGGTAAGTTGTCTCATTAATCAATCAATATCAATAAATCGTTAACCTATAGTAAATATAGGTACCTCAAAAACTACGAAATACTTATGGTACAAATAAAAATAAGCCTGTGTAAACGTATCTTAATCTATACATATAAATAAAATTGGAGTGTCTGTTTGTAATATTGAAATAACCGTTTTTTACTACATGCATATGAATATAAATACGGTACATACATACACCAAAATAATATTTTTTACAATTTTCGTCTGTTTGATCCGACTAATCGCTGAAATGGCTGGACCGATTTTGACGGGACTTTTATAGGCAGATAGCTGATATAATAAGGAGTAACTTAGGCTACTTCTATTTTAGAAAAAAAATCTTTTATTTTAGAAAAATAAAGTTAAATTCCATGCGGACGCGGACTCGGAAATAAGACAAAGTTTTTATATATATTCAGAAATTATTTGCAGGACTGTTTGTTTCTAGTAAATATATAAAATAAATGTTGATTAGTTACAACAAAATACCGGAGTCTATTATAAATCTGCCAGAAAAAAGATTTAAATATCAAATAAAACAGTTTCTTTGCAAAAAAGCTTACTATAAAATTGATGAATTCCTTAACGATAATAATGTTTTTATAGAAAAGCTTAAAATCCATAGCACTGACAATATTATCTGATTACACTAATAATGAGTGCGTAGCGATTTCTATGTTGATTATCGCATGCCTCTTACATGTTATACTGTAATTATTTATATAAAAAAAAACATCTATTCAAAAGAGCAATACATAAGTTTCTTGCTCATTCTTCTCGTGATGAATCTGCATTCCGAATGAGTGGTAGAGTAAAGTGCTAAAGTGCTTGCTGGTAAAGTGCTTGTAATGAGTTTATTTGAATAAAGATTATTTCTATTTTAATTTTTTTTTTAAAAAGAAGTATTCTTAAACAGTAATAAATATGTTGCAGTCCGGTTGTGTGGTTGTTGCGAGTGTATGGGCGGAGGCAGCGAGGCTAGCGGAGGTGGTGGGCTGCGGTGGCGCGCGCTGGCTGCCGAACTGGTCGGCACCTGCCTGCTGCTCTTCCTCACGTGCCTCTCCAACTGCGGGGAGCCCGCACCTTCGCCGCTCTACAAGGCCATTGCCGCCGGCTTCATAGTCGCCATGATTGTACAAGTACGTACTGTTTTTTTATGGATGATAATAGAATGGAGCGTCCGCCTGCGCTGACGGTTTAGGCTGGCGGACCACCAGTGGAGGATGATGAGATGAGCATAAGGTCAGGTCAGTTAGCCCATCGTGACAAATCCACCAGGAATTCATCACGATAGTTTCCGGGGGGAACCGCGTGGAGGTCAACCTGACATGGTACATTGCTAGTAATGGGGTCATGAGTCCACATTACTCACAATCCCCTTCCCCCGAGTACGTACTGTTAGTCGGCTGAGTCCAGAAGCCTTTTTAAAAAATAGGTTTTTTACTAACACTAAGTTATTATTATTGGAATAATTGGATGGTTTAATAAAACACGAGTTAATAGTTCGGAATCTTGTATTGGACTGATTCACTAGTTATTTATACATATAAATAAAATTGGAGTGTCTGTTTATACTATTGAAATAACCGTTTTTTACTACATGCATATGAATATAAATACGGTACATACACCAAAATAACATATTTTACCATTTTTGTCTGTCTGTCTGTCGGTCTGTTTGTTCCGGCTAATCTCTGAAATGACTGGACCGAATTCGACGGGACTTTTATTGGTAGGTAACTTATGGAATAAAGAGTAACTTTACTTACTAAGCTACGGCTACTTTTATTTTAGAAAAATAAAGTTAAATTCCACGCGGACGAAGTCCTGGGTACAGGTAGTTACATAAATAATAATGCACCTAGTAGGTACACATCCTGTGCTTATTAAGTATTATATTATAGTGATGTAACATCTCTGTAGTTTTAGAACTCAGAACTAAGCGGGAGACGTTTCATTGTATATATAAATACAAGCTGATATCGTTCAAAATTGTATTCAAACTGATGTTTGAATAAAATATATTTAAAAATTTTATATCAAAACTAGCTATTGCCCGCGGCTTCGCGCGCGTTAATTTATCCCCTTAGTGATGGAATTTAACAAAATCCTTTCTTAGGGAATGCCTACGTCATAGTAGCTTTATGCATGCAAAGTCTCAGCCCGATCGGTTTAAAATTGACAAAGTTTCATACAAACTTTCATCATCTATTTTATCCTATTGGGGGTAGAATTAATCAAAATCCTTTCATAGGGGATGCCTACGTCATAGCATCTACATGCATGCTAAATTTCAGCCCGGTCCGTCCAGTGGTTTGGGCTGTGCTTTGATAGATCACTATGTCAGTCACATTTGAGTTATATATATTTAAGATTTAAGATTTGTTTTAGACTATTTACTTAGCAAACATAATAATGTAATAGTAATTTTTCTATGCTAGATGTAACTAGAAATCAGTTTCTGAGTTACAAATACACAGATATAACCTATGTTTGAGCTCGGATAAAAAGTACATTTTGAACATTTTTTTAATTTTTAATGAACGTATGCAGAGATGTAAAATTTTTTAAATACCTAAGTATTTGAAATGCCAAATACAAAATACATATTTTGCATTTTGTATTTAAATACATTTTGTAAATTATTTTTTGCATATCTCAGATTATATGTATGACTGTACCCGCAACTTCGTCTGCGTGAAATTTAAATTTATTTTTCTAAAATAAAAGTAGCCTAAGTAACTCCTTATTACATCAGCTATCTGCCAAAAAAGTCCCGTCAAAATCGGTCCAGCCATTTCAGAGACAAGCCGGAACAAACAAGCAGACAGACAAAAATGGTAATAAATATTATTTTGGCGTATTTACATTCACATGCATGTAGTAATAAACGATTATTTCAATATTACAAACAGACACTCCAATTTCATTCTTCTCCCCGGTCGGACATCTCCGATGTTCAATCGAAGAACGTCTCCGTACCGTGCTATAGCTGGTCGAAGACTAAGTAACCTCGTGTGTACGGTGTGGGCAGATATTCGACCACATCTCCGGCGCGCAGCTGAACCCCACGGTGACTGTGGCGGGGCTGGTGGCGGGGCGGTGGGGCGCCGCCGCCGCCGCCGCAGAGGTCGCCGCCCAGCTGCTGGGCGCCGCGCTCGGGGGCGCGCTGCTGCGAGCCGCCGCCCCCGCCTCCCTCGCCACCCCCGCAGCCCCCCACGCCGCCGCCGCCGCCTGCCTCACGCTGCCCGCCAACGGGGTCTCGCCCCACCAGGTACCTACCAGCTCTTATACGCACTTACCAGCAGAGCATGGCATCTCCCCAATGCTATACTCGCTGTACACCAACGACATTCCCAAAATTTTCTTAAAACTTTGATAATTACAAGATTTCTTTTGTTTTTAATGCCCTCCACATAATGTATTTTTAAAATTCAAATTCAAAAATCATTTATTCGTGTAGGACATTTTAGCCGCCTATGAACGTAATTTATTTTATATAATATTTTTTTCTCTACCGTTCAGTTCAGTATATAAATCCAATTGAGACGAACTCGCAGGAAACCCAATAGACTTACTTATTTTTTTTATAAGCCATTTTATTTACAATGTATATTTATATAGGTCTATGTCTAACATTAAATGAAAATCCAGTGCATGAACAATATTGCCATGCACGCTCGTCATTCAAGTAATCGTTTAGTGAGTAATAGGCTTTGCTCTATTCTATATATTGTTATTAATTATACATAATGTAATAGGAAGACACTGAAGTAAATTTACTGTTTTTTAATTAGATATTTAATTTTTTTTTAACCAATTAAGTTATAGTCGCACAATGTCTGCCCTATCTGTCGAGTTAAATGAACGATTGAGTAGTTTCAATATTTATAAATGACTGAGTACCCTAAAAGTGTTCTAATATTCAACTAAATTATGAATTATGGAACTTATTAAGGGAGAGTTTATAAGTATTTTTTTTCTTTTGAACGACAATGGAATGCTGCACCCGCCTGCGCTAACGGTTTACGCTGGCGGGGCACCAGTGGAGGATGATTAGATGTGCATGTGGTCAGGTCAGTTAGCTCATCATGATAAATTTATCGCGATGGTTTCCAGAGAGAACCGCGTGGAGGTACCTGACATGGTACTTTGCTAGTTGCGCGGCCCACGTGACGTGGTTTTTTTTTGGACTACTCTAATGCTGTTGGCCGCAGCTGCCCTTTACAGCTTCATCGGACGATAGGAGACAAGTGCTGATGGCACTCCAAACCCGGGGTAGGACTTATGGAGCGGCTGTAGGTCAACTCCCGCCTGACGGATACGACTTTAATCTGAGGGCACCGATAGGGGTTCGAACATCAGCCCAGGCCATCGTAATGTCGATCCCCGTTTGAATTGTACGGGGGATCGATCGGAGGTGGTTTGTTCTAACGTGGTGTTGTGTGTTGTGGTGGAGGCCGTGGCGGTGGAGGCGGCGCTGGGCGCGTGCCTGGCGCTGGCCAACTGCGCCTCGTGGGACGCGCGCAACCGCTACCTCAAGGACTCGTGGCCGCTGCGCATCGGACTCACAGTCGCCGCGCTCTCACTGGCCGCCGTGAGTGTACACCCCGGAATTATTTATTTATTCTTTAATTTCAATATTACAACACCATTACAGTATATCCAAATCGGTTTTGCAACTTAATACAGTTTACATATATCTTCTGTATATGCATATATATAAAAATGAATTGCTGTTCGTTAGTCTCGCTAAAACTCGAGAACGGCTGAACCGATTTAGTTAGTAATAATAGTAGTTTTTCAATCATAATTAGTACTCACTACACCACCACTCACACGCGGGCTACTTCTGACACTCCAACCGTAAGGCAGCTGACGATTACAGCTTAACTGGATAAAAACAGAGAGGCCTACGACACTGCCTCTCTGCTGCGTAACATTACAGAGCAGTTGAAAGCCAATTCTTCCCTGACGAGTGAGATTAGTTTCTGAGCACGAAACACCTAGAGGTTGTTCCCATGAAGTCTCCCATCTCAAAACATTATAATTGTGATCTGGAACGATCTGGAACGACTGGGACAGAGAATTAGTGGGATGGCTGCACCGTACCTACCTGAGTCATTTATTTAACATACTTATGGTCAAAATTATTTGATTAGTCAATACAAACGGGCAGTTTTGTACAAATAGTACTCAAAATACAAAACCGGTTTTGTAACAAACCTATATTTTACAAACAACAACTTTTTAATAAATAAGAAAGATGGAGAGCACGCAGCTATTCGAATTCATAACACAGACATTTAACTCGATAACCACCAATATTTTTTAAGGAATGGAAGTTACCATAAAATATGGTACAATCTACTAACACTAAGACATGGTCTGTTTCCAGGGTCAGCTGACTGGCGCCAGCATGAACCCGGCGCGCAGTTTCTCGCCGGCGCTCTGGTCCAACACGTGGACCCATCACTGGGTAAGTACCCACGAGTCAGCACTCTGCGTGAAGTGTGTCTGTATGTGTGTGTGAGTGTGCGCGTGTGCAGGTGTACTGGGCGGGCGGGCGGCGGCGCTGTACCGCGGCGTGTGTGTGAGTGTGCGCGTGTGCAGGTGTACTGGGCGGGCGGGCGGCGGCGCTGTACCGCGGCGTGTGTGTGAGTGTGCGCGTGTGCAGGTGTACTGGGCGGGCGGGCGGCGGCGCTGTACCGCGGCGTGTGTGTGAGTGTGCGCGTGTGCAGGTGTACTGGGCGGGCGGGCGGCGGCGCTGTACCGCGGCGTGTGTGTGAGTGTGCGCGTGTGCAGGTGTACTGGGCGGGCGGGCGGCGGCGCTGTACCGCGGCGTGTGTGTGAGTGTGCGCGTGTGCAGGTGTACTGGGCGGGCGGGCGGCGGCGCTGTACCGCGGCGTGTGTGTGAGTGTGCGCGTGTGCAGGTGTACTGGGCGGGCGGGCGGCGGCGCTGTACCGCGGCGTGTGTGTGAGTGTGCGCGTGTGCAGGTGTACTGGGCGGGCGGGCGGCGGCGCTGTACCGCGGCGTGTGTGTGAGTGTGCGCGTGTGCAGGTGTACTGGGCGGGCGGGCCGGCGGGCGGCGCGGCGGCGGCGGCGCTGTACCGCGGCGTGTGGCGCGCGCCGACCGGGGCCCGCGGCCGGGGGGCTCCCTCCCCGCCCCCGTCCCCGCCCCCGTCCCCGTTGCCGATCCCCGCGCTGCGCTGCAAGCGGCTCGCCTGAAGTCGCATCGGGTCTCCGCCGACTGCACGCCGCGGCAAAAGTTGGAGGAGCGGGTAAATAATTGCGAGCTTGTAGATCGTACCAGTGGATATTCCTGTCCTGAAATTATTATATATTCGTCTGAATTTTTCCCACCATAGGTGAACGCTCTAAAGAACTGTTCGATAAAATATATACTCAAGAGTATTGAGTATTTTTTATATGTTTATAGATGGGTGATTACCTAAGCATAGAGAAAATACTCTGTACTGTTATGGTCTACAGACGAAGCTCGTGCTCAGTAGTGAACTGTGGATGGCCGACATGATCGCAATGATCAGAAGTAATAGTTTATGTTTTCTTAACCGCATTTTCAATTTGTACCGGTATACTATATTGAATACACACCGGTTACAATGCTAACTTACTCGTGCCCCTTACATTTAGTAGTTACATTTAGATCTTATCATTACATAGTATAAAACAAAATCGCTGTCGCTGTCTGTCCGTCCTTATGTATGCTTAAATCTTTAAAACTACGCAACAGATTTTTTTAATAGATAGAGTGATTTAAGAGGAAGGTTTATATGTATAATACATGTACACCCGGGTAAAACCAGGGCGAGTAGCTAGTTATATATAATTTGAGACGAAAATCAAAATTATCCCATAAGCTATGGGAAATTCTACACATTTTTTAGCATTACTCTTTGCTTCCCCCTCCGATCAATCCCCCGTCCAATTCAAACGCAGATCGAATTTACGACAGCCTGAGCCGAGGTCGAACCCCTAGCGGTGCCCTGAGACTAAAGTCGTATCCGTCAGGCGAGAGTTGGCCTTCAGCCGCTCCATAAGTCTTTCTTTTGGTTTGGAGTGCCATCTGCACTCGGCCCCTATTGTCCGGTGAAGCTGTAAAGGCCAGCTGCGGCCAACAGCATTACAGCATTACAGTAGTCCGAAAAAAAGAGAACACCAAATATGTTCTTTAATCGCTATGAAGTACATGAAATTGTGATCAAACCGGCTGTAAACAATATGTATTAAATAAAAGGCTCCATGAACTTATGTAGATGGGTACAGTTTACTATTCCTGTTATACATAAAGTGTTGTATGTAACACGTGCCTATAAACCGGGCCTGTTTGTGTGTGTGTGTCTTTAAAAATTGTTATTGTTATTGTAAATATCACAAACTACATTGCCTTTGTAAGTGTTGTTCGAAATAAAACATATTTATTTTTCTTATTTGGTTTTTGCTATTACACGCCATATATCTTAATATATACAATTGTTCTGTACATATTTCAAATCAAATTCACAAATAATTTTAGCCGCTTATGAACGTAATTTTTTTTATCTATACATATAAATAAAATTGGAGTGTCTGTTTGTAATATTAAAATAACCGTTTTTTACTACATGCATATGAATATAAATACTATACATACACTAAAATAACATTTTATACAATTTTTGTCTGTCTGTCTGTCTGATTGTTTGTTCCGGCTAATCTCTGAAATGGCTGGACCGATTTTGACGGGCCTTTTTTTGGCAGGTAGCTGATTTAATAAGGAGTAACTTAGGCTACTTTTATTTTATCTGTTCCCGCTACATCGTCACGCGTGCGTGATAATGTAGCGGGAACAGCTATAAGTATAATATAAATCAACAAACAAGCAAAAAACAAAAATCAAAAGATCAACAAAAAACAAAAAAAAAAATGAAATTTGATTAGTGCTGTGAATATAAACGCTGCTCATGTGTAGGCGCGCGTAACATTCTAAATATTGTTTGATAATGTAAAGTGCAAATCAGGACCGTTTTATGGACCACTTCAGATTAGATAACGGGTGATAGTAATATATGTAACTATTTAGTAATATTACTTGAAACTGTCCTGCTCGCTGTAAAGTTCAAATTGTGGCGGCGCGGCGTGGTGGGCCGGGTCAAGGTGCTCCCTCTAATATGGCGGAATGGGGTGAAGGGGATTGTAAACAATGTGGACTCGTGTGTAAGAAGCATTCATTAATGATGACGACTTAGGCTTTGAAGGCTACCGCAAGGGAAACCCCAAGTAACGCCCGTGACTTGTGACACGGGTGTAGGTTTAAAAGGCCCTTTTAGAATTCATTCACCTTCACTACTTGCAGCTTCCCCCCAGTCCCAACTAAGACCGGGATAAACCCATTTCTAATACAATTCACTTTAGTGTCCGAAACACAACCGGCACGCTCTGCGCTCGTCGACTGAATGCCGTGACTTATTCAACGAAAGAGGATTATTCAACTACCGACCTCCGTATTTATAGACCGAAGTCATAGGGGGGAAGGGAATTGTTAGTAATGTGGACTCTTGATCCCATTGCTATCAATGTACTATGTCAGGTTGACTTCCACGTGGTTCCCCCTGGAAACCATCATGATAAATTACAGGTGAATTTGTCACGATGGGCTAACTGATCTGACCTCATGCTCATATTATCACCATCCACTGGTGCCCCGCCAGCGTAAACCGTTAGCGCAGATAGGTGTATCATTTCATTCTGACATGCAAAAAAAAGTCAGTGTAATACGTCGAGAAGCGGGGGTAATGGTTATCTTCGGTTCCAACTATAAATACTAGATGTCGCTATTTACAATATTTGTAATAATCCTTACATTGGGTACTTCATTAGTACTAAACACAAACTACCTTCTTTTAATATATTTTTAAAATATCGGATTTTTCTACAATATTAATGTGAACTCTAACACATGACTCCATTATTAACAATGTACCATGTCAGGTTGAATTAACAATGTACCACGTGTTTCCCCCTGGAAACTATCGTGATAAATTCCTGGTGAATTTGTCACGATGGGCTAACTGACCTGACCTCGTATTCATCTTATCATCCTCCACTGGTGTCTCGCCAGCGTAAACCGTAAAAATGTACAGTTAAATAATAATAATAACCTCAGGACAATTCACACAGCGCCATCTAGACCCAATTTTTTTTGTAAATACATACATATTATACATAGAAAACACCCAGACCGATACAAATAATCATACTTCTAAATACGAATGTTTGTGCCGTGCGAGGAATTGAACCCATGACCATCATACTAAAGGCCGTCATACCACAGATAACATAACTGCAATGTCTGCACTATAAGTTGTACTATAGAAAAATCATGTCTACTTTGAACGAATAGTGTATTGAACCCGGATGTCATTTTATCAAACAACCTTTATCCAAAGTGATAGCCGACTGTTAATTGTAGATAATAGCAATCCAAGCAAATCCTAATACGATTTGTCTATATCAGAGGATCCCAAACTTTTTTGTGTTTTAGACCCCTTGCCATATTTTTCGGTTTTGGGTAGACCCCCCATTCTTACCTGGTATTGATTTTTTGTAAATTTCTAACTGTAGTAAACTTTAGTGTTAAAATATAAAGTAAAAACAACAAGATGACCACTGTCGTAGACCCCCTGCAGTTTGTCATAGACCCCTGGGGGTTGATATAGACCACTTTGGGCAGACTGTAGAGAGACCCAAAGGGACAAACGAAAATGACAGCGTAAGAATGATAGCAACTGTAGAAATGGAATAGCTCAGTAGCGACTGTCACTTGTCAGTCTTCCAGACCAGAGAACAGATCGTTGCTTCCGGGCAGAACTCTTTATGTAATAAGGACTGCACACATGCTGTTAGCTCCTACTACGATTCGTGTAGACTGCTGAAGGACTCAAAGGAACAAACGACAAACGACAGCGACTTTATATAAATGGAAAAGGTCAGTAGTGACTGTCACTTGTCAGCCTCCCGGACCAGAACAGTCATCGTTGCTTCACGGCAGAACTCTTTATTAATTTATATTTCTTTATTTAATTCGGGTTACACCCATATTGTGTTTGTGAACAACTTACAAAACTATGTTAGGAACTTATAATATACAGATACAGATAAATATACTCTTAATTCATATATCAGTATCCACGTCCAGCAGCACTGGGTCCACAATGCAACGATATCCAGTGCCTCTGGAGCGGACAATCTGATATATTTGTACCAGTTGTTAGGATGCTGATTGTGCTCCCCTTGTGACTAATTCATTAGAGTATAAAATATTAAATAAATGATAAGATTAAATCAGTCATAGTTATTAGAGCAGATCAATATCTACCAGCAGCATTCGTTCACGAATATGACGGATGCCAGCCATCACTGCGTTCGACCGTATTTTAGCCGTATTTTACGCCCAATGACCCGGCCCTCCACGCCGCCACATGTCTGGACATTTTAGTGAGCATGACTATTCATTCCACTCGACCACCGGGCATGCCTAGCTCACCGATACATACCTTTGAAATGGCGTGAAGTGAAAGTAATTTTCATTCCGAAACCTGGCAGAGGTGACTACACACAGGCCAAGTCCTTTCGACCAATTAGTCTCACATCGTTTTTACTAAAAACAATGGAGAGGCTTTGCGACAAAGAGATCAGAGACCTGATATGTATAAACAAACCACTGCACACCAACCAACACGCCTACAGTGAAGGCAAATCAACGGAATCAGCACTCCACAGCGTCGTAAGTCGCATTGGTAACTCGCTAAACTCAAAGCAGCCTACCCTAGGTGCCTTCATAGACATCGAAGGGGCCTTTGATAAAACGAACTTTACCAGTATCAGTCGCGCTCTTACCATACATGGAGTACCAACAACCCTCATAGAATGGATAAACAACATGCTGAAAAACCGTGCAATCCAGTTCACCGTAAACACTACCACACGTGGGATCGTAAGTAGAGGATGTCCACAAGGAGGGGTCCTGTCGCCACTCCTGTGGAACTTAGTTGTTAATGAACTCATTGAGGAGCTCAACGACAACGACCTCTACACGGTAGGTTACGCAGACGACATTGCCGTACTTATATCAGGAAATTTTGAGGGAACCTTATGCGATCGCATGAGAG